ATTCCTGCTTTTTAGCCATGGGGACTGAGAAGAGTTTTGTCACATTTGTGCCCCAGAGCTGGGAGTAAAGCCACCACCCACGGGTTTAGCAGAGTAAGCTTCTCAGGGGAAGTCTGGTTTGCTCGGCTGGGGAAAGAGAGATGTCATTTTTGGGTTTTTTTGGGAATCTCTCTGGTTATATTTCATTGAACTTCAAAATCTGAAGCTCCATCTTGCTGTGATTTCAAGCAAGACCTGTCACCGAGTTACTGATTCACAAGTAGAAATGATCTTAATAGGAGACCAACAGAGGAGCATCTGCACCTCATCGGAGCTGTGCAGAGCAGACAGAGATGCATTCCTGGACAGGAAAGGGTTGTGTGTGGGTTTTTCCTACTTGATATTTAGGGAATAAACCTTCCTGGGGATGGGTTTTTTCCCACATGGGCATAGGAGATGGTGGCAGTGGGAACAGGAGATGGTGGCAGTGGATAGAGTTGGTCAGCACTGAAGGAGTTTGCTGCTGATGCTGCTCTGAAAGGGAGGATTGTTTCCTATGAATTCATGACACATCGTTGGATAAAAGTGCTGTTAATTGCTGTGTCCCTCATTCTCCGCGGGCAGGGCGAGTGCATGACTGCACCCTGGGCTCGGCTGCCCGAAATCGCTGTTATCACGGCAGTAACGAGCACTCATGGATGTAGAGATGCTCCGCTTAAAACATTGGCCCTAAAAAGACAGCGAGAGGCATGTCTGCCTTTCAGATGGGTTTCGTATCCCAGTTTTATGGGTTAGAGGGGCGAGCATATGAAAAGATAAGATTAAACGTAAGTATCGCTGTCTCCCTGCCATGGAGTTACGTGTCCTGGGCAAGACAGATTAGCTGGGGGGATTCAATGGGTTAATGCCTTCACCTTGGGGACCTGGGCGTCCAAATCCTGCTCAGGGCTCATGGAAATGAAGAAGGGTTTTGTGTAGCCTCTCCAGGAGGGCTCTGAGCACCGTCCCCTTCAGCAGAGGGGAAGGCTCAGACCGTGCTGGCCAAGCAGGAGCTGTTTTTTTGAGGCTTCTGTTGCACCAGCATCCCACAAAACCCCAAATTACAGAGGAGGGGGGAATAAAAAGGATGTATTTCTAAATCTGTAGCGGAGATGATTACTAGAAACTTGAGTCATGCTTAAAAGAGGCGATGTTTTTGTCACACGCGTCAAATATTCCAGCCTTCCCCAGCGATTGGATGTTGTCACTCCTATTTCGGTGATTAAAACCCGTAACTAAGAATAGAAAGTCTTGACGAGCTTTGTTCTGAGTAGGGGATGTATGAAGACAGAGTGCCTAAAATGAACACAGGCATCCTATTGGCCTAATTTTAAAGGTTCTGGAGAGAAAAAATGGTTGCGCAGGTGCCCCTTGTAGCTGGAGATGGCAGTGACCGGGCCTGCTATGTGCAGCAGCTCTAATATATGGCTTTTATTTTAATGTCTCCTGTTCCTTGTGCCTCTCCTACACAGACCTGGTGGGTGCAGGGTTGGAAATGCGCCCACTGGGATCGCAAACTGGAGTAAAAGTTGTGAAAAAGTCACCGTTGCTCCGGTTTCCATGGCTGCCTCCGTGTCAGATGTTGTCTTTTTGCCGTATTTTTAGCGATTTGCAGTTTTCCAGGGTGGTTCTGGGCTGTCTGCTAAGCCGTGAATGTTTTTATCCTCTTACAGACGTGGCTGGATCCTGCCAAAGAAATCAAAAAGCAGGTTCATGGTGAGTAGAGTGAATTCGTCGTGTGGGGGTGTGTGGTTTCTCCTCCCTTCCCTAAATTTGCGTGGCTTTGGTGGGCGACCCGGGGGGCCCAGGGATAGGTGAGTTTGAGTGAGGGTTTCTGGCAGGGATCAGCACAAGTTGCATCATTTCTCTTCTTAAATACTCTAAATTTAGGAGAAAAAAGGTCATTTCCTTGGGAAAACATAGCTTGGGGTGTGGGATTTACTTCCTGTTGGAGGGTGGGAAAAATCAGTGTCAGTGGGAACCATTTGAACCCCAAAGGAGACTGGGAGAGCCCGAGCAAAACTGTATGCTGTGGTAAGGCTTTATGGACTCTAAAGCTATTTTGGGGTCCAAACAGGGGTACTGGAATGATAAATGGCTCGAGTAGTATCAGGGCAAATACCAGATGCTCTCCAAAGTTGTGTTTTAAGGTCTGCTAGCGCTGAATTAGTTCAAGATGAGGATAGTATCGACGTTAAATAAGTTATAGAGGCTTTTGTTTTCTCTCAGGAGCAAGCCTGACTGCTTCGGAGGTAAAATACTGTTTTACAAAATAAAATACTGTTTCACAAAGTAAAATACTGTTTCACAAAGTAAAATACTGTTTTATGGAAGTAAAACACTGTTTTACGTATGCTTTTGGTGGAGGTGCAGAGCAACGCGTGTCATTAAGCACAGACTAGGGGGGGAGATGCTGCAGGGCTATGGGGTTGGGAAAGCTCCTGCTCTTGCCAACTTCCCTGTGCCATGCAGGTAAAGTTCACCTTTAAAATGTGATGAGCTATGAAATCTGCTCCCCTGAGATGGGTTAAATGGCAAATTATTGGAGTTTACTTGAATTTATGTTGTGTGTACATATGAGTGGGTGTACCCCAATGCATGGTGGTTTAGGAATCCTCTGCTACCTAAAATATCTCCATGGAATAAGTTGTTTTGCATTGTGTGTAAAGCAGACAACGTGCTGGGTGTTTAATCCCAGTTGTATAAGGAGTAAATCCACGAACGCTGTGTCCCTCCTCCTCCCTGGTGCAGAGTGTGATAAATCTCTGAGCAGGTTCACCGCAGGGGTATCTTCTCTTTGTGGAATAAATGTTATTTTGAACTATGGAGTTAAAGGGCACAGCCGGAGGGAGCTGTGAGTATGAACGTTACTTTGAGTGCTTAATGGGTGGGCCAGGACTGTTTGCTGTGGGTAAATGTGACTATTTTCAAGGAAAAGAGGGAGTAACCCCTTCAGCTGTGTCGCCTAGGCTGTCCACACCACAATTTAGGTGTGATTACGTGGATTTTAACGGCAGTTAATGCCTGTAGCGGTGCTGGACGAGGTTTGCAGGAAGCTGTATTTAAAGCATTTAGATCTGGACTTGTAAAGCTCTTCCCAGCTCAGTGCTTGCTGGTTTCATCCAGAGGTTGATGCTTGTGTGGTGCTGGGTTTAAGCCGTGGTGTGACCGCCCGGTTTGGCTCTGAGTGAATTAGCACATCTGCTCCTCACCAGCAGTGGGAAAACTGGGTTGAGTGATGATACAATACTAATTCATTAACTTCCAGCACACGCCTGACCTCTCTTCATCAATCTTTCTTTTCAGTTAATGAGAAAATAGATAATTTAGCCTCTTAGCGATGGGTTTCATTTTTTTCCCACAAGTTGTGGTTTATTCGTTGTATTTTTCTGCCCTGCTTGTTTTCCTCCTGCTTGTATCTTAGCTCCTGTAAATGAGGTTGAACCTTATACTGGCTGCTTCAGTGAGTGAACAGGATCAAAACCAGTATTGTGATCCCCTATTGGATATCCCCAGCTTTTTGTAACAACTGACTGTCCCGAAGCTGTTGTGCTGTGTTCATTGTTCTCAACCTCTCTGTAATTGCAGGAGGCCCCTGGGATTTCACCTTCAACGTCAAGTTTTATCCCCCGGATCCCGCGCAGCTGACGGAGGACATAACCAGGTGAATTAACCTCGCTCAGCAGAGCTGTGAGCACTTTCAGAACGGGCAGATTGAACAGAAATTTTTAAGATTTTGATTTTATACCATCCTTGAGCAAGGAGATCAGATTCTGTAATGGTTTGGAGGGGGTTTTTGTTTGTTTTAGTGGATGTGTGGGATGCTGCTGCTCTGCTGCTCTTCGCTGTTGGCCACATGTGTAAAGCAGTGTCATTTATAATCACAGAATCACAGACTGTGTTGGGTCGGAGGGGACCTTTACAGCTCATCCAGTCCAACCCTGCAGTCAGCAGGGACATTGGTACCAGATCAGGTTGCTCAGAGCCCATCAAGCCTGGCCTTGAATATCTCCAGGGATGGGGCCTGCACCACCTCTCTGGGCAACCTGTGCAGTGATCGACCACCTCATGGGGAAGAGCTTTTTCCCAATATCCAACCTAAATTGCTGGAACACAGGAGGTTCCACTTCAATTGGAGAAGAAACTTCTTCTCAGTGAGGGTGACAGAGCACTGGACCAGGCTGCCCAGAGAGGTTGTGGAGTCTCCTTCTCTGCAGACATTCAAAACCCGCCTGGACGCCTTCCTGTGCAACCTCATCTGGTGTTCCTGCTCCGGCAGGGGGATTGGACTGGATGAGCTTTTGAGGTCCCTTCCAATCCCTAACGTTCTGTGATTCTGTGATTCTGTAAATCTGCCCTTTTCTAGTTTAAAACCATTGACCCTCATCCTATTGCTCCATGCCCCAGTGAACAGCTCTTCCCCAGATTTCTTATAGGCACCCTTCAGGTCCTGGAAGGTCGCTATAAGGTCCCTCTGGAGCCTTCTCTGGTGTGTGTGTGTGTTTGTATAGAAAAGCACATTTTATTTAAAAACAAGACTTTCTGCTCATAAGTGCCCTCTACTCCCTTTGCAGCGTGGAGGTGACCTGAAGTCCTCCTGTTCTCCATGCTGTTTACCATGGGAACATTACCCCATAAGGAAAAATACAGGTGGAAATTGGGAACAGGCATCATCCTGCATTCACCAGTGGCATAAAAAAGAGACTCTGTTTGATCCTTCAGTTTCTCTGTGCTCTCTGTAAATAATACTCTGCTTTCCCCCTCAGGTATTACTTGTGTCTTCAGCTTAGACAGGACATCATCTCGGGGCGGCTGCCTTGCTCCTTTGCCACTTTGGCTCTGCTGGGTTCCTACACGGTCCAGTCTGAGCTGGGAGACTACGATCCCGATCTGCACGGCCCAGATTACATCAGTGAGTTTAAATTGGCCCCAAACCCATCAAAAGAGCTGGAAGAGAAGGTCGTGGAGCTTCATAAAACATACAGGTGAGGAGCAGCTGGAAATCATGGGGTTTTCTGGTATTTTCCCCACTGCTTTATAGGCTTTTGGTTTCCTCCTGCATTGAGTTTTGTGTTGGCAGCAGAAGCTTTAATATTAAGGTGTGATTTTTCAGCTACTGAGAAAATGAACTATTTAAAAAAGATGTAATATTTTAAAGTTATAATAAAATCTGTCCAGAAGCTGGAATTCTTTTTTCCTGCATGAAGAAACTGTGTTTTTAGAAAGCAGATGCAAACTCTGGCAATTCTTTTTTAACAAGTGCTCTTTTCCGGCAACATAGCCATGAAAGCAGATTTTATTTCACGTGAAAATGCAGTAAATTTGCGTGTTTTAACCTTGTCCTTTGTCCTTTTTTTTAATATTTGCTTTGGGATTTATGTGATTTTTGGGTTGCAGTCTGGTTGGAGCAGATCCCGTCTCTGTGTCTGTGCTGTAGTCCTACGGCGTGCGGGGGGTTTTCTGCTGCCACGGTTAATGAGTAACACTTCATAATGTGGAATTATTCGGGATACCGTATGAGTGATAAACCTGCAGGTGGGCTGTCCTCGTGTTTCCAAGCACAACCATAACCTGGCCAGATGTGTCTTGTTAAGGTAGGGTTGAAGATGGAAGGGTGACAGTAACCAGACCTCTTCCTCCTCTTATTTGGAGCAGATTTTAGAATCACAGACTGTGTTGGGTTGGAAGGGACCTTTACAGCTCATCCAGTCCAACCCTGCAGTCAGCAGGGACATTGGTACCAGATCAGGTTGCTCAGAGCCCATCAAGCCTGGCCTTGAATATCTCCAGGGATGGGGCTTGCACCACCTCTCTGGGCAACCTGTGCAGTGATCGACCACCTCATGGGGAAGAGCTTTTTCCTCATATCCAACCTAAATCTCCCCTTTTCTAGTTTAAAACCATCATCCCTCATCCTATTGCTCCATGCCCCAGTGAACAGCTCTTCCCCAGATTTCTTATAGGCACCCTTCAGGTCCTGGAAGGTCGCTATAAGGTCCCCCTGGAGCCTTCTCTTCTCCAGGCTGAACAGCCCCAACTTTCTCAGCCTGTCTTCGTAGATGATTTCATTCATCGTAGATTTTCACTGATGCTCTCAAGTGCTTGGACTGTAGATGCTGTGTGGAGCTGTGTAGGAGCATCCAGCCTGCAGCTCCTGCGCCCTCCTGAAGATAACATTTGGGGTTTTTATCACTTGGTGATACTGGTGCCTTCAGCCAACAGCCCCTTGACCTGTGAAAGCTGCCGTCCGGTGCCGTAATCGCAGGAACAGAGCAAAACCGAGACCTTGCAGGCAGATGGGACCCCATAAGCTGAGTGTGATGGGGAAGAATGGACGGGTGCCCTCGGCTGTGACCAAAGCTACAATTAACACTTTGCTCAACCTCGCAAATCAATACTTCAGATTGATTCCTCTCCATTTACACTGAGAGGAGAGGAAATGAGGGAAAATAAGTCCGGGACCGCTGACAAGCTTCATGGCTTGAAGTCAAAGGCCGTTAGCTGTGCTCGAAGTGGCAGATCACATCACTGAATTATTCATGGCTTCATTAGAAAGATAGTTCAGGGTACAGGGTGCAGTTGTATTTAATCTGCTCGTGCATGCAGGAGGGAGGAAGAAATATGCACCCGTTTAATTTCTGGTCCATATCCTCTGAGCGTTAAACTGTCAGAGGGTTTTCAGTGGGAAAGC